GAGGGATTGGTGAGGCTCAGAGCCCCATTTACCCTTCCTCGAACTGCTGGGCTACTCAGAACACAGATGGAAAGCCAGTACTTTAGAAGGCAGAGCTAACATTTCTGTTTCTTTGTACACCCATACAGCACGACATGTAATAACCTAACAGTGCGGTGTCAGTACATCCTTTACCCCCTCTAGACACCGCCACTTCCTCTGGCCCTGCGGTGGCCCTTTGGGCTACCGCCTCTAGATGGCACTGTTCTCATTAGGTAGCAAAGAACCCAGGCTTTAATTACTAGGTTATGAACTCAATTGTGTATAAGCTGCTTAAAAAAACAACAGGCATATTCAAAATAAAGTTATAAATGATGAGATACCAATTTAATACAAGAATTAAAGACATTTCCTGGAAATTCAGAAACACTACAGATACTTTCTAGTCATTTTCCTCACCAGGGTTTACTGGTGAACATCTAAGGCAGTGGTTCTGAAAGTGTGGTCCCAGGACCAGCAGCATCAGCTTTACCTGGGAATTTGTTAGAAATGCAAGTTCTCAGGTCCCACCCCAGACCTACTGAAGCAGCAACTCTGGGGGTGGTGCCCAGTAAGTTGTTTAATAAACCCTCCAGGTGATTCTGACATATCTGAGAACTGCTGATCAAAGATCAGGGAGCCCTGGTGGTACAGTGGTTAAGCACTTGGCTGCTAACACAAAGGTCAGCAGTTCGAACCCACCAGGCCCTCTGCGGGAGAAAGATGTGGCAGTCTGCTTACCTAAAGGTTATAACCGCAGAAACTCATGGGCTCGCTATGAGTCGGAACCGACTAGACGGCAATGGGTCTGGGTTTTTTTTGTATATAGGGTCACTATGAGTTGACTTGATGGCAGTGGGTCTGAGATCAAGGATTATCTTTCAAGTCAATTTTCAACTTACAAAATTGTTAATGTACAGTTTAAATGTCTGTTTTTGTCTTCAGCACGATTTCAGGTAGCTCACTGTGCTACCTGAGTTAGATGCTGCTCTCTTCATTAAGTGATCCAATACACAGCTTCTCCCTATTATGGACGACTTTTCTCACCAAGGTAAGAATGCAAGAGTAAGATACATTAACTACTCACCATTAAGCAGTTTGAACAAGACAAAAGTATTATTCTCAATGAGTACCCTGCTGGTTTTCTACTACTTCCTAGCTCCCTCAGTCTTTACGTTTCTCTTACCAGAGTTCAGGTAACAGGCAAAGGCAGCTGGCAGCTTTTGCAAGTTTAGCACGTTAAACAAGCCTGTTTCTGCTAATATTTCTTTTAGCACTTCTGTTTTCCAAGCACAAGATAATGTAGCAAAACCACATTCTAAGCTGACATACAAGTTTCCTTACAAAGGAAAAGCTATGGGCTTAAACCCCCAAATTTCTTTGGGCATATTTGCAGAAATAAACGTAAAACAATAAAGAAGGGTCTTTCAAAAATTTCGCAGCAGAGCAAGCATCTGTGATACATTTTATTCACTTTCAGTCACATTCAGTACGGATGGTTGCTGAAATAGATGTTTTTAATCACGGCAATCAAATCTATTTAGTTTCACTTCACTATTGCTCTTAACATCTTTCACTCCTAGGTAATAATATACATTCAGCTTTCAAAGTATACCCTAGCCTTAGAACAAAGTGTAAAATGGCTCTCAAGTAAACTGCTCATGGAGGAATACAGAGAGAGAGAAATAACAAAGACTGAGACATACTACCAAAAAAGGCACTTTGAGGTATTTACGCAAGTTGCATTGTCCCATTCACACTCCATTTACCCTGTCCCCTGATGTGTCACAGCAGGAAAAGGGCCACAGAAGAGGGAATAACCTGTGATCACAGAACTAATCTGAAGATTAGCTGATATAGTACAGAAACCTGAAAACTTGGTCTCATTAGCACTTTGCAGTGGCCAACTGAGATGACTTACCAGCAGCATCAGGGCACTGAACTGAGAATTAAATACTGGGTTTATACTCAGTTCTGCCACTCACTAGCTGTGTGACCTTTGGAAAGTCACTTAACCTTCCTGGGTCTTAGTTTTCTCCCTTGAAAAATAAGGGCTCAAGGTGGGATTTGATGTAGAAACCTTTAGCTGTAAAATCCTATGAATGGAAGATAACCAGGGAAGTTAAAAAGATTTTTAAAAAGTAGGTGTAAGTGGTGGTAGAAGAAATCTGTGCTTGAAGCGCCTAGCCAAAGTCTGGCTGATGTGAAAACTCCAGATAGAGTGGAAACTGGAAATTGTTTCCACAGAGGTGTGGAGAGCTTGCCGAGAGAAGGGCAATCTTACATGTAATGCCTTAAAAAGGAAAATGTAGGAAGTCAGTGGCAGGTGACATTACCTGACTATCAACAACGAAAACTGCAGGTTTTGTTTTAAACACAGTTGTACTTCTAAGTGCTAGCAAAGAGGCAAGTCCAGAGCAGGTACTCAAAAATGATTAAATTGAGTAAGTGCACTTAGGAAAGGATATGAGTCAGGGAGCTGTGACAGTCACAGTGCAATGACACACAAAGTTTGAGCTATGGCTTGGAGAGGAAAAAGAGAGCCACGTTCCGTACTAACAGAACCAAACAGTATCTACTCGGTGTGCCAGAAAGTAATTTGTTTCCTAAGTTTGCAATAACTATATTGTGTATTGTCCATAGTTCAAGTTAACTGCCAAAAATCAAGTAAAGATAAAAATAGAAATCCACTTTTAATTGTCATCTGCTTCTTCAAATAAATTCTTATACATGAACCAAAGGACACAGGTGACTAATCCAGTTTCCATTTCATTTCGTTACATCTTACTTTACACTTAAAACAATCTCAATTGGTCAGCATGTAGGCCAATTTCTGTATCCAAAGAAATTTCACACATCTGCAGATGTTCTCGAATGTGGGAGAAATTCTACTTTGAATGGAAACTTTCTCTTGACTATTCAGTAGGATCAACACTTGAAATGACCAGCTTCTAAAAACTCCCAGGTAAGACTTCCGAGGGTGAACCAAAGACAGATAGTAAAACTTGAACAAACATTTAGTGAAAATAGTCTAAGAAATAACTTCTGTTTTACTATTGCTCAGGTACAATGTTATATGTACATGCTGACCAATACGTGTTTAACATTACTATTCCAGTTAAAAACTAAAACGTAAATATTAAATTATTTTTAAATCTCAGTATTTGTTTTTTACATCATTTTTCATAAAGTGTTCTTGGTGTTTAATACATGCCAATCAAAATTTTTAAACAGGTAATGAGAAGCAAATAAATGGGTGGGGGGAGACCCTCAGAATCCAAATGTAATTATTTTACTAAGGCTTAAGATACACACTTCAGACATTGTCACAGAAAGAAAACAAACAACAACAACAAAAAGAAATAAAAATATACTTCTTGGTACTACAATTCCCAGATGCTTACTTCAGCCTTGTCAAAAACTCTCATCTATTGCACAAGGTGTTAAAAGTATTAGGAAATCTCATCTCCTGGGGGCAAAGTGTTAATGTTTGTTTGGTTTGGAGCTGAAAATGTGTAAGTGCAATTCAAACAAGAAGCTATGAAGTTTTAGCATTCCTTTTCAACCTTAAATTATGGACACACTGATTTTTACTTTTTTATGCTTTCCTGTATTATCTGAAACTTTTTACAACGAGCATGTACAACTTTTTTAATACACAAACACAATAAGGAAAGCTAACACAGTTTGAAAATAAATTACAAAGCATTACTTCTTGGAGCTAAAAATCAACTCCAAAATATAAGGATAAAACTAGATTAAACTTGGTAAATGAATACTGTTTATCTGACCTGCAAAGCTTTTACCTAAATGAATAATAGCTTAAAGTAATCTTCTTTAGAGGGTGTCCAGAAGAGTTCACATATGTAATCACATTTTTTGCTACTATATTCAAATTTTAAAAAGAAAAAATTGTATCTGATTCAGAGGCTAAAGCCAAAGTATCTGGTCAAAATTAAATATAATTAAAACTAGCCTTAATATCACTTAAATCATCCCTAGAGCACAGGTTTTTGTATATTTGAGCTTGTACATCAATGTCTAAAAGAATGATGGATACACAGTAACAAAGAGCACATAAGTAAAATATAAACTTACAGTACTCTATCTTTAAAATTTGGAAGATCAGTAAGTATAAGACACACCACAGGAGAGGCACATCAGAACCCAAAACCAGGCAAGGAAGCTACAGCCAAGCCACCCCCTCCCACCTCACGGCCACTAAAGGGCACCCCTTAAAACAAAAGACCCTTGAATGGAATGCCTATAGAACTTGTTATTTACCTCTCATTCTACCAAGCATGAAGACAGTAGAATTCTCCTGAGTTAAATGTAGGTAATTTGTAACTCTGTAGTACTTCCTCTGTTTAAAAGCTTTCAGCTATTTACCATGTAGAGTGCCGGCTCTCAAGATCTCTCCCAGTGTAGCCTTGAGTATCACACTTACTGAATCTCACTCCCTGCTGTGCTTCTTTTACCTGGTACACCTCTGGTTTTCCTCAACCCCAAATCTAAATCCTATTCAACTGTCAAAACCCACCTACTCTACAAAGTCTTTTCTAACCCCTACTGTGTTGTTTCTTGTGTTCACTCCATAAGTGTCCACATGCTCAGGAGACAGTTTGTTGCTTAATCTTTCTCTAAATGTTGAGACTGAGAGCTTCTTTAGACTAAAGACCATGGCTTATATTAGTTTTTCACCCTCATTCCTCCTAGTACAACCCTGTAAATACACAGTCGGTTAAGAATTGGTAAACAGAAAGGGAAGTCATAGACAGACTGGTTGATTCGCCCAAATTCTTACAGAAAATTACATCAAGAATTAAAATGTTTCTAAAAATCCAAATATTACCAAAACATGGCAGCATGGGCTTCATCCCACGAACAGGTTTCCATTAGTGTAACCCTTTATCTTAGTAGAATTCATAGAAATATGAACACCCACTCACTGCAGAGGAAAGCAGATGTTAGCAAAGACGTACCATCTGAGGCTGCACGAATCTTTTTATCTCTGGGGGCGACAGAATGCCCAGCATGACCGATAATCCAAACTGGAAAACGTCCATTTATCAAAGAGTACAAAGCCTTTGCAAATGGCAAATAAAATGTAGTTAAACCTGGGTTACCTAAAAAAAAGAAACACAGACCTTCAATTAGTCAAAGCAATAAATCCACACAAGGCGACGTCCAGACAGAAAAAAAAGAGGGGAGGGGGCTATTTCTCTTCACACTTTCCTCTACAAATCTATTATATTAACATATACATCTCAATTTTAGTACCCTTTCTACCTTAAATCTGGGAATGATCACGTGGAAAATTTCTGCTCCTACTTCATTTTCCAATTTAAGTTCTTTCTTCCTGTTCCTCAACTCACTAAATGGAACCACCAATCATAAGTCTATTGTTCAAGTCAAAACACTAGGGGTCTTTGCTGGTTTCTCCCTGTCCCTTGGGTACAATCCATCAATAAGTCCTATCAATTTAGTTCCAAAATACATCTCAAATTTGTGTACTTCTCCCCATTACCACATAACTTCTCAGGTGGTTTCCTCCAACAACCTCCTAAGGGATGCTCTCCTATCTACTCTTTTAACAGCTTTACTGAGATATTAATTCATATACCATATACTTAACCCATGTAAAATATACAACTCAATCACTTTTTGGAATTTTCACAGATATGTGCAATTGTCACCACAGTCAATTTTAGAACATTTTCATCTCCTCAAAAAGAAACTCCATACCCATTAACAGTCCCTCCACATGTCCCCTCCCTCCTAGCCCCTGGCAACCACTAGTCTACTTTTTGTGTCTACAGATTTGCCTATTCTGGACATTTCATATAAACAGAATTATATACTATGTGGCCTTTTGTAACTAGCTTCTTTCACTTAGCATAATGCTTTCAGGGATTATCCTTACTGTAGTATGTATCAGTACTTAATTTCTTTTTATTGCTAAATAATATTCCATTGTATGGCTATAGCATATTTTGTCTATTCATCAGTTGATGGGCATGTCAGTTGTTGCTACCTTTTGGCTATTATGAATAATGTTGTTATAGACATTTGAGTACAAGTTTTTATGTGGACATATGTTTTTACTTCTCTTGGGTATATATCTAAGAGTGGCACTGCAATGTCATATGGTAAGTCTATGTCTAACCATTTGGGGAACTACTAGATTGTTTTCCAAAGTGGCTGCACCATTTTAAACTCCTACCAGCAGTGTATGAGGGTTTCCATTTCTCCATATCCTCGCCAACACTTGCTATTATCTGACTTTTTGATTATGCTAACTTAGTGGGCATGAAGTGGTATCACACTGTGGTTCCGATTTGCATTTCCCCGAGGACTAATGATGTCAAACATTTTTTCATGTGCTCATGGACATATGTATGTCTTCTTTCGAGAAATATCTACTCAGATTCTTTGCCCATCTTCTAATTGGGTTACTTGAGTTGTAAGAGTTCTTTATATATTTTAGATATAATTGCCTTATTAGGTACATAATTTGCAAGTATTCCCTCTCATTTTATGGCTTGTTGTTTCACCTTCTTGATAATGTCCTTAGTAATACAAAATTTTTTAACTTATCTGTTTTTCTTTTGGTTGTTTGAGCTTTTGGTATAATATCTAAAATTACATTGCCGAGCGAGGCAGGGCCAAGATGGCGGAGTAGTCAGACACTTCTTGTAGTGCCTCTTACAACGAAGACCCGAAAAACAAGTGAATTGATTATATATGACAATCTAGAAGCCCTGAACATCAAAGGCAAAGTTGAGGAACTGGACTGAGTGGCAGGGTTCAGAAGCAGCGAGGAGTTGCCAGACCTGACCTGGTGGGGACCAGTATCCTGTAGCTGGCGCACGCAGTCAGGCAAGTAGCGGCACTCAGGAGGTGTTTTTCACATCAGGCGAGACCAAGTGGCAGAGAGTCTACTCAAGCCACCAGAACCAGTGAAAAGCGGCACTCAATCAGCAAAAGATAAGTACATGAGTCTAACCTACTGCACAGATCAAAAAACACTCCTTTTGGGAAAAAACTCTCTCTCATTTACCCACTCCCTCCCTGCTGTGCACTAGGTCCCAAGCCAGTTTCAGACATTGCCGCGTTCCCTGGGCCAGAAGTAAGGACCATCATGTTCCCTGAGCCATTCTCCCGGCCTTGGAGAGGGAACAAATTAACAAACAGGAATAAACAATCTGACAGCTCCCCTAAGCTGTGAATTTAGGGTAGGCACATCTCCATTGCCTAGGCACAGGCATAAGGAGTCCACAGACTTCGAATGCCTTTCACCTCCGCATAGACCTGTGTGGGCCTATTTCAACAGCGCAGGCCCTCATTACCATAGTACAACAAGGTATATACCTGAAGCCTAACCTCAACTGTCAGCTATATGGTGAAGTGGCAGGTTCGTGACATTTGACACCGCTCTGCCCATTAAGCAGGGTCCTCACCTACCCACATCAGGAGCCTGAGGACTGGTGGCTCCACCCATGCCACCTAGCCACCTGCAACTGGGGTCCAAGAATAAGTGGTGCCTCCCAGTCCTCACAGACAACAGCACTGGATGCCCATAGTCTGGCTGCAAAGCCCACCCACAACGCACTCTAGAGAACAGGGACACGCTTTCCTCCCAGACACCCAGGGGCAGCTGTCAGCCCTCTGCCTTGCTCAGCACATGATTCTCTACTGCCAGATACCTGTGCCTATACCAATCACCTCTGCCCACCTAGGACTGTAGGTGAGAGTGTGTACCACACACGTGGTGACCAACTACCTGGACACCTGAGCTGAATCAATACAAGAAAAGGAAATGGACTCCTGGGCTCCCATACATAGGAATAGATCTAACCACCTGATGACAGGACACTAGAGCTTCAAAGGCACCAATAATCAGACTAGCTCATATAAGCAGCCTATCTGGGCATATCAAAACAAAACAAAACAAGAAGCTGGGACACAGTAAGCAAACATAAAACAAATAAATATAATAACATACTGATGGCTTGGAGACAACAGTCAATATCAAATCACATAAAAAGGCAGACCATGATGGCTTCAGCAAGCTCCCAAATCAAAGAATCAAGAAATTTTCCAGAGGAAAAGAGCTTATTGGAATTACTAGACGTAGAATACAAAAGATTAATATACAGAATTCTTCAACAGCTCAGGAAGGAGATCAGGCAAAATGCAGAACAAGCCAAGGAACACAAGACAAAGCAATCAAGGAACTAAAGAAGATTAGAAAAGAACATAATGACAAATTTAACAGGCTGCAAGAATCCATAGAGAGACAGCAAACAGAAATCCAGAAGATTAACAATAAACTTTCAGAATTAGACAACTCAATACAAAGTCACAGGAGCAGAATTGAGGCGATGGAAGTCAGAATTAGTGAGATTGAAGATAAAGCACTTGATACCAACTATTTGAGGAAAAATCAGATAAAAGAATTTAAAAAAATAAAGAAACTCTAAGAATTATGTGGGACTCTATCAAGAGGAATAAACTACGATTGACTGGGGTGTCAGAATAGAGGGGATAACAGAAAATACAGAGAGAAGTACTGACAATGTGTTGGCAGAAAACTTCCCTAATATCATGAAAGATGAGAAGATATCTATCCAAGATGCTCATCGAACCCCACATAAGGTAGATCCCAAAAGAAAGTCACCAAGACATATTATAATCAAACTTTTAAGAGCAGCTAGGGATAAACGGAAAGTCATCTACAAAGGAGAGTCAATAAGACTAAGCTTGGACTACTCAGCAGAAACTATGTAGGCAAGAAGGCAACAGGATGACATATACAAAGCCTTGAAGGAAAAAAATTGTCAGCCGAGAATTATACGTTCAGCAAAACTATCTCTAAAATATAATGTCAAAATTAGGGCATTTCCAGATAAAAAGAAGTTTAGGGAATTTGCAAAAACCAAACCAAAATTACAAGAAATACTAAAGAGAGTCCTCTGGTTAGAAAATCAGTAACATCAGATAACAACCCAAGACTAGAACACAAGACAGAGCAACCAGATATCAACCCAGAGAGGGAAGACACAAAAACAAATCAAAACTAAAACACTGAAAACAGAGAAATAGAGACATCAATAGGTAAAAGATGAAAACATTAAAACAAAAAAGAGGAACTAAAAAATGTAGCCATAGATCTTTCATATGGAGAGGAAGTCAAGGTGATACAAAGAAATAAAAGATTGGTTGAAACTTATAAAAATAGGGGTACATATTAAGGTAACCACAAAGGAAACTGACAATCCTACATATCAAAATAAAAACCAGGGGAAAAAAAAGACTCAGCAAATACAAAATCAACAACAATGAAGAAGATGATACATAAAGAAAAATGACTCGGCACAGAAAATTAAGTGGAACAAAGAAACTGTCAACAACATAAAAAAACACATCAAAATGACAGCACTAAACTCATACCAATCAATAATTACATTAAACGTAAATGGACTAAATGCACCAATAAAACACAGAGAATGGCAGAATGGATAAAAAAAACACGATCCACCTATATGCTGCCTACAAGAGACAACACTTAGACTTAAGGACACAAACAAACTAAAACTCAAAGGATGGAAAAAATATTTCAAGCAAACAACACTCAAAAAAGAGCAGGAGTGGCAACATTAATCTCTAACGAAAAAAACTTTAAAGTAAAAGCCACCACAAAGCAGAAAGAAGGACACTATACAATGATTAAAGGGTCAATAAACCAGTAGGACATAACCATAATAAATACTTATGCACCCAACGACAGGGCTACAAAATACATAAAACAACTCTAACAGCACTGAAAATAGAGATAGACAGCTCCACAATAATAGTAGGAGCCGTCAACACACCACTTTTGGTGAAGGACAGAACATGCAGAAAGAAGCTCAATAAAGACATGGAAAAGCTAAATGCCACAATCAACCAACTTGATCTCACAGACATATACAGAATACTCCACCCAACAGCAGCCAAGTATAGTTTCTTTTCCAACACACATGGAACATTCTCCAGAACAGACCACATATTAGGCCATAAAGCAAGCCTTAAAAGAATCCAAAGCATCAAAATATTACAAAGCATTTTTTCTGACCCTAAAGCC